CTATCATTTATCAGTTATGTTATATTTGTACGCAACAGCATATAAACATTTCATCACTACCCATCTAACAAACCAGAACTCTCATTGATTGGATTACATGTAGACAACCCTAAGCTTTGAGTTACTTTACAATACACTGACATGTTCATTGGCAATGTTCATACATTTGGCAAAAACGTTTGGGGAAATCAAACATTTAAAGTTGGTTACGATGAAAGGGGAGAAACGAAGGCAGTTAAGAGCCAGAAGAAATAAGAGAGTACGGAAGAAAATAAATCTGTAAAAAAGTATTTATACATAAAGTTCCTGCTGAAGAAACAATTATAAGTACCAACATGTGATCTGTGTGGTTAGCGGACAATAACTGAAAACGCAGAAAGGCCCTTTGGGTGAGTGATAGGGCCTAGGTCCAAGCCAACAGAGGGGGGTAAGGGGAAGAACAACCCATTCAAACTGCTATCAATTTACAAAAATTAAATGATCCTGATTTGAACGGTATTATAACATCAGTCTGTATCGTGATGTTTAAATGTGGAACATGAAGTCTTCAAGAATTGTGGAGATGACTGCTTTAAAATGGTGCCGAAATCCAGAATTGAGACGTGAAATGTTTTTTGTTTTTTATGCTAACTAAAATTGGCCAGTTCGATATTTTAGATCATATAATGTAATGTCTCTTACCATTTTATAGCTATTGAAATTCATACTATAAGATCCTAAGAAAATATAAACGTGACTGTAAGAAATGATTTGTAACACACACATGCTGGAACACAAGAAATAAAAATCTCATGCATAACATGTACACATTATACTAGAGATGATGTTTTTTGTTGAAATGTTACCTTTTATAAATTATTATGCAAGAAATGACTAAAATTCATGAAATGCCCTTTATTGAGGGAACTATTAAAAATTAGCTATCACTTCTGTATTGAACAGTGTTTGCTAATGTATGATAGCATTTAATATATGGAGCAGATTGCTCTTTACATCAGAAGATTAATTTCTTCAAGAGTTTGTCTGATTATTGAAATTATTTTAATTTGATATATTGTGTATTGTAATATGATCGAAAAAGAAATTAACATGTAAAATAAATGTGATGAATTACATGTTTGTATTATAATTTTCAACACAACATTAGATAGATGGAAAAACACTTATCGATCATTTTTTGTAAATAGAGAAGAGACTCACACAAAGTTAATAGAATTAAATATTCTATCAAGATGATCAGAATTAAAACTAAAATACTCAGTTTAATGAGTAAGTAAGCCAGTAAACAACCCCCAAAATATTCTATAAAAGCGACTGAATATAATGATGATATTAAGATATGATTTGGGATATATGTACAGCCAATATGTGATAGCAAAAATCCTGTTAGAACAAAAATATGAGTTACCTACTAATCAGATATTGCATTGCATTGACAGGCTATTTATTACTGTTACTGATTTGAGTTTTGAAAGATAGAACAACATTATTGTATTTCTATTTTAGAAGTTCCAATGTATGTAAATGACTACATATTTTTATATGTCTCATCTGCTGTGTCAATGGAGGTGTTTTGGCTTCCTGTTCAGATGTGGGGCAAATAAAATGTGATGTTGAAAGAAATGGATTTTTTTATAGTAGAACAAATGCTTGGAAGAACCCTTCACAATATATTTCTACAAAACCTCTATTATAATAAATTTTCCAAAATCCACGTTAAAACCATCACTCCTCATAGAAAAGAATCAATGACCACACCAATCTGAATCAAATAATCTCCGTCACGCGGTTGAATAACGGGCGTAGCCCAAAATCCACGTGGGAAACCACCCACTGCTCATAGAAAAGAAGTCATATTATTACCACACAAAAAAAATAATAATTCCTGCGCAGCGCATATAAGCGGGCAAGCCTAAGATCCTACCGTGGGAAACCACCAACTGCTCATAGAAAAGAAAGTCATATATTGACCACACAAAAAAAATAATAATTCTCCGCAGCAGCGGGATAAGCGGGCGGAGCCCTAAGATCCACGGTGGAAACCCACACTGCTCATAGAAAAGAAGTCATATATTGACCACACAACAAAAGCAATAATTCTCCGCAGCCGGAATAAGGCGAGCCCTAAGATCAACGGGGGGAAACCACCACTGCTCATAGAAAAGAAGTCTATAATTGACCACACAAAAAAAAAATAATAATTCTCCGCAGCGCGGGATAAGCGGGCGGGACCCTAAAGATCCACGGTGGGAACCACCACTGCTCATAGAAAAGAAGTCATATATTTGACCACACAACACAGAAAGCAAATATTCTCCGCAGCGCGGGATAATAGTCGGGGAGCCCTAAGATCCACGTGTAAACCACCACTGCTCATAGAAAAGAAAATGTCATATATTGACCCAACACAACGAAGCTAATAATTCTCCGCAGCGCGATGGAATAAGCGGGCGGAGCCAAAGTCCACGTTAGGAAAACACCACTGCTCATAGAAAAGAATCATGATATTTCCACCACAACGAACAGATAATTCTCCGCAACGCGGGGATAAGCGGCGGGAGCCCTAAGATCCACGGTGGGAAACCACACTGCTCATAGAAAAGAATTCCATATATTGACCACACAAAAAAAAAAAATAATCTCCGCCACGCGGGGGATAAGCGGCGGGAGCCCTAAGATCCACGGTGGGAAACCACCACTGCTCATAGAAAAGAAGTCATATATTGACCACAATTGGAGAAAAAATTAATTTCAACGCATAGTTTTGAAAACAAGTGTATTAGTAGAACAAGTTAAGAGTAATTGAATGGATGAAACCAGAATCCGCTCTAGTTAATAGTTTAAGAGTTACATGCAAAATACGAATATGGCTAAATGCAAAAGTACATAGAACCCCGCCATTACGTGACTTATTGGAAAAAAAACTAATTTCAACGCATAGTTTTGGAAACATGTGTATTAGTAGAACAAGTTAAGAGAAATTGAATGGAGAAAACCAGAATCCGCTCAAATTAATAATTTAATGGTATTCACAGAAGGCATGATTTCCTACAATATTTCACATCAGGAAACATATGGTCATATTAAAGACAAACCATACAACTGACGAACAAGAAGCATGATAATATTTCACATCAGCTTTACCCTAAAATATGTCGTCCTAAATCTTTAGAGTATTACTTACTATCGTTCTTTCGATTTTAAAATGAATTCACAATATTGAGCAATTTTCAGGAACATGCCTCTTACCTAATCATGAAAATGCCAAAATCAAGTAGAGTGACCTACTTTAGAAAAAAAATGTGTAAGGCCGTGCAACCAGAAACCTCTTGAATAAGTGACCCCTGGCACATTCCCATTCATGTGAGGAAGCATTCATTCTGCATCTGTACATCAGAAAACAGAACTAAATGTTCACTGTTATTTAATGATGCAAGTAGTAATAGGGAGTGAATAGAGATGATAAATCAAATACCACAATATTACAAATATATCGTTTCAAAACTTTATCAATTCTTATACAAAATTAAATAAAACTGTACATTTTTACAATACTGACTCTCTAATATTACATAAAATATAGGTGAAAGTGATACATACAAAGTTTTCCATCTACACAGATGTTTTCATTAAAATCTTTTGAAGAAAAGGAGCATAAATACTCCACTAAAGGAACATATATTACAAAGATTGACAAAGTACATTGGCATAAAGAGAAATGAACAAAATCCAACTATAAATTAAAAACTTTGAAGGAAACAATGTAACTAACAATGATCATCTTATTCGCACACTGAACTTTAAAATATTAACACTATTTAAATAGAAACAAGAAAATCTAATATTTTGCACAAAAGGAATTCTGATAATGAATTGTCTCAAAGCACTATACAATACAATACTTGCCAAGTGTAAATTATTAACATAGGAAGAAAATTTGTGAGATAACATTGTATTTATATTACAAACTTCAATTTTTGCTATTTTTACAAATATCATGTTATAGAAAATCAACACTGGAATATACAATCACATGTGTTGTTTGGTATCAAACATTATACCAAAACACACAAAAATACATTCATGTTTCTTTGATGCAAATAGAATCATCATAAAACAAAGGAAAATAAGATTTCTACATTTTCATCATCATGATACTTTACTAATACACTGACAGTGTTCATGCAATGTTCATACATTGCAAAACGTTGGAAATCAACATTAATTGTTTGTTACCTTATTAAAGGAGAAACTAAGGCATTTAAATAATTCTATAAAAAGACACACAAAAATTATGAAGGTTAAGACAGCTGTAGGAAGAGTTGTAACTTGGGTTCATTTACAAGGATCTTCTCCATGAACTTTATTCAAAAACGATTCAATATTCAAGTTCTTCAGAAGTTTGCACGGATTATCATGACGAATACGTTTTTCAGACTGAAATCAAAGCAAAACACACATTACATTCAGAAACAGAATAAATAAAATTAATTGGCACTTCTCAAGACAAAGTGGGAAATTAATTGATATGATATTAGGTCACAAATGGAAATGATAGATACACAGGTTTTTAGTAAACGTGAGAATTGTTTATATTTAGTGAAAATGTTATTGATTAATTTTAAATACATTTTTAGCAGTAACATACATACACATATACATATATATGTTGCTATAATTAAAAAAGTCAAATTTTTGTCACGCAATTTAAAACCATTTGTGTTCCATTCATGTCACAAATGGGTATTATGCTTTTTAGAATTTGATAAATACTAGAGGAAATAAAAAAGCACATACTTTCTCGCTATATTATGTTACCATTATGTAATATGTCACTTTCTGCCTTTCTTACGCTTCAAATATCAATTTATTTCACAAAGAAGTGTATTTTAGCCTTAAAATATACTGCATTCATCTAATATATCGCATGAATGCATTTGAAATTACGATATGCATATCTGTATGTACATTCTTTCCTATTTTAATGAAGTTGAATATATCATTTTATTGAGCGCAGAGAACATTGTAACATTGACGTTAAGTACATAAAGCAGCATTATCTACCCTATCATGTCGCCGATCAACAATGAACATCTCGAATATCCATCGCCGCAAACAATGGTACGGAAATATCAAATTCTTTCATATTATATTTACATCAAATTTTTAAGAGATAAAACCTAATTTGGTTTGTTTCAATTAAGATTATTATATATTGACGCTACATGGCGCGACGACCTTATTATCTATTGCAGGCCTGCACGGCATTTTGCACTGTGACGCCGCGAGCCGCGCGCAAGCCACCCGAGTGCAATTGCGGAGACATTTGAAGGGTGGGCACGGAACAAATTCTGGGAGTGGGGACCACCATTGAGAATGCGCAATTCAAACCAAATGCCGCGTGTAAATTGAAAGAGCAATGACGAGAAAATGAAGGTCTCATACCGTTCAAGTTCCTTTTGTATTATAATGGAAATATTTGTTGTCGATATATGACAATATGGAACCACAACGAATTATAGATATTTGCTTTACACCAAATATTATAATTGTTATTATATTACATTTTTTGTTCGTTAGAATTATATAATAAAAAGTTTTTAAAATGGCCACTGCTTAAAAAGTATTGCTTAAGTTACAATGAGAATTAACAAAAAGTGGTGGATACAAAGATGGATAAGTAGCAGTGTACAGAAGAACGTGGATTATGGTCCTTGTAGCTTAAAAAGAATGGGACATATTTAAGCTACGAGGGCCCATTTAAATACGTCTCTTTCTGGACGTGCACAAGGACAAGAAGTCTGGACAAGAAGGAAGACTGATCCCTCGACCACACAGTATTCCGAAAACCCACCCACACGGACCGTTATCTTAACTAATTGTCGAACCACCATCCCAGTCAGAAAAGGCCAATGATGATCTTCACAAGGCCACACTACTGTGTTTTTTTTTCAAGAACATCAGGGACCGTATTAGCAAGATTCTGAAACACACTAATATTTTCACCACCACCACTCAGCTCTGCAATCTCTTTAGATCAGTTAAAGAGCGTAGGGGCACAATGACAGCAGGCGTCTTCTACAGGATACACTGTTCCTGTGGCTCTGTGTACATAGGTACAACAGAGCTTTCAGTCAACACTCGCCTCACCGAAAACAAACGAAATTCCGCTTGGGATACACAGAGAAATCAGCGGTGGCTGAACATGGCCTCTCGGGAAGAGAACACATCCTGTTCGCAGACCCTGAAATACTATCAACCACTACCACACCAGATTACAACGAGAAGCTATTGAGATTTTTAAACATTTTAATAACTTCAACAGGAAAGAAGAAGGGCTAAAATTAACTATCTGGTATCCCGTACTGCTCTACACTATTAGAAAACCATATAAGAACAGAATAACCCAATCTAAACACAGCCCAATTGACAGCCAACCAGGAGCCAGACAGCAAACCATCAACCAATCGCAAGCTAGCGCACGAAATTCCCACCGCGAAGCCCCCATCCGCCGACTATAAAAGCAGCGGCCGCACGGAGCGATGCCAGGATCATTCACTAACTTCAATGAGCGAAGTGCCCGTGCAGTGAAGACCTGCGACTTGGCAAGACTTGGTCTCCGACGCGGTCTGCGGCGCGGCAAGTACCTGGCGCACGTGGTTGAACTCTGCTCCCACGCTGTGTTAAGTGGAAAGTACGCACAGCCTTCCCTTCACGGCAAGTACCTGGCGATCTCGTGACGTTTAGCGGAAAACAGCGGGGAAAAGCAGCCGAGGTCGAGGATTTTCTCCGAGATTGAGCGCTGCTTTCACGCGGCTTGAGCAAAAATGTGCCGATAGCCCATGGCTACCATTGAGGGATGCGCCACCCCTTCAGCGCTCGTCGCTGGGGGAACAACCACAACGTGAGCGGAGGAGCATCCTATGGGACAGCGTCACCTGGTCGATTCCGACCGACCGAGTGACGCTGCCCCCAGTACGGAAATGCAGCACCGAGCTGGTGTACCTCCACGAGATGGAGCTGGTGAAGCACGCCACTCCGAACATGGAGGTTATCGCGGTAGGTGCTGAAGACATCCCGGCTGGGGTAAACGTGAAATTGACTTTACACCAACGCCGCCCACACCGCCACCACTTCCCAAACAGCTGCAGTCTCGGAAACTACAGCCGCTGCTGCCCAACCAGCAGCCAAACCCACGAGCCACAACAGCCGCAGACGTCTCCGGGAGGATTGCCGGGATCCCAGCAGGCGTGATCTGTGCTTTCGCCGCCCTCAACACAGAAGGCCTCCTGGCGTACTGGGGAACGTTCCGGGAAGCCGGTGTGGGAGTAATCCCGCCACAGGCGCCCGGTAGCGAGCTCCTCGCTGGAATAAACGCCGTCTTGCAGGCGCCGCCACGGCCCGTGGGGGCCGCGCCGTCTTCCTTGGTCGGCGCACCTGTGAGGCAGCATTCTCTGCGCGAGCGCGTCTGCTCTTTCAAGCAGCGCCTATTCTATTTTCCTTTGCGGGAAGCGACGCCGCAGCGACGGGGCCACCGATCCGGTCTGCTCAGAGAGCAGCACTGAGCACAAGGGCGCCCCTGGTGGCGCTAAATGGAGCGGCTGCTAGCGCCCCTAGTGGTCTACCCTGACATTCTCCAGCAGCGCCCGCGCATTGAAGATCACTGCCCAAGGCAAGGCGAGAGAGGACCGGCCGAACTCCACGCCGCTGCGGCTGCCGCGATTGGTTCCCCGTCCCGCGGAAGGAGACGCCCAGGTCGCAGCCTACGCCTGATTCACCGGACGGTAATCTATGAGTCCATTCACTTCCTTTATCTTAAATTTACTATCACCTGATACAGTTCTTTCAAAAGAAAGAGCTAAGAAATAATTACCTAATACAGTTCTTTGCAAAGAACTAAGCATTTTGATATGCAGCTTTTGTCCGGACTACCTTCTGTAATGGACAACGGCAGTGTTGACAAAGCAAGCGAAAAGCGCCAGCGGTCTCGCACGCTCTCGCATCGGAGCGCCCTGGTTTTCTCAACCGGCGGCATTAAAATCTCGGTTGCTCCTGAGTACGCCACCAACTCACGCGCCGCATATGCCGCTACCTGGGTCCCCGCCGCCGAACCTACAACCTCGCAAGGAGAAATCCCTGCTGTCAAGTCGCTGCGGGAACCCCAAAGCGATTCGACGTCTCAGGGAAAGCTCCCTCGCGAAACAAACCCTGGACACGGAGGGAAAAAGGAAAGGGAAATCGTCCACTGTGTCAAAACCTACGCGCATCGCAAATGCACTAAAGGCTCTGACGCAAGCCGACTTTGACGGGTGCATTTTTGATCTCCCCTTCGACCTGTTTTCGCTGTTTGCCTCCCGCCTGACAACTGGGAGAACTACGCTCTCTGCGCTAAAGCGAAACCCTTACCCTGGCCTACCGCCTCACCAACTGCCGGCAAAGGCAAAAAGCGCCGTCTCTCAGGCGATGAGCCGAACGCCGCAGCTGGAAAGGTACCTCCCTCCCAGGTATCACCCTCAAACTCTCTAGCGCTGCCCGCGGTCGGTGAGTCCGAGATGCAGGTGGATAGTGCAATCGAGGGTAGCGGTGAGCCCGACGCGTCGGAAATCCCGGTAGCCAGCAATGGCGACTCGGGTGCCCACGAGGTGCGATCGCCGCCCCAGGACGTGTCGCCACTGCCACCCTCGCCTCCACGCGTAAATGCGCAGGGCCCTCCTCCCTCCACCACCGAAGCCAGGAAGGCATCAAAGCTCGTCACCGCCCGTCATGGTGGCGACCGAGGCGGTGCCCTCCGAAGGCGGCTTCGCCGAGTGGTTCAAGGAAATCACGCGCGGCTGTCAATTCCCGGTCAGGGGAAAAGCACTGTGGGGAGTTTTTCTCCCTGCAAGCGCGGAACGCGGAAGACCACATAAAAATCTCCACGAACCTAAAGTCGCGCAAGCTGGGCCACTTCACTCGCGCACCAAAGAAACAGAGGGGACACAAACTATGTGAGAGGCTCCCCGCCCCAAACTGACGGCGGAAGAGGTGGCGGACGACTTAGCACAACGGGGAAACCTCGGCCAGCTGTCCACCAGCTTAAAAAGCGCCGGAACGGATTTCTCATTCCATTAGGCGCTACTTTGTCAACCTCCCCCGGGTGACGACGGCAAGTGGGCCTTTGCCCGGAGCGTAATATGCAACTGTGCTGCGCACGTTGAAATTGCCAGGCAGACTGATAGCGGTCCTTTCTGCAAACGATGCTGCAGATGGTCGCATACCCAAACCTACTGTCAGGTCAAAACGCGGTGCATGCACTGCGGCGAAGGTCATTTGACAGAGTCCTGCGGGAACCGCAGTTCACCAGTGTTTTGATGTAATTGCCAGGGCAACCACTCTGCTAACTACGCCGGCTGAAAGGCGAGGAAAACTGCAGCGAAAACACAAACAATCCAAAACAA